AACGATTGATTTTTTAAACTAATTTAAAAGTATAGGGGAAATTGCAAGATTCAGGATTTAAATTGCGAATTTAAAAAATAATTTAATCCTAATTTTATAGAACATATCGCATTAAAGATAAGGATAAATAAATAAACTCTAAAATCCCACGTTACATTCTTATTTTTGTTTTTCACAGTATAAGATTTACAAAATTAGAATTAAAAAGAATCGCACCTTAATATCGTTTTTATATTAAATATTGAATCTTTTTGCATTCGATGTGATGATAAGAAAAGGAAGATACATTTCTAAAAATACTGCAGTTGCAAAAGGCACATGTTATTTGTGAAAAAAATATAATTATTAATATGTAATCCATTTTGAATCTTTCATATTCTTTCTCTAACCTTTTTTTTTTTTTTTTTTTTTTTTGTTATAATTTGTAACTTTTATGTGAATCACTCTGTATATTCTCCTAAATTTTATGCATATTTTTTTCAGAGTTATTACAAATTTGATGTATGATCATGATAGTCGTATCTTACAGTTAATGAAATGACAATATTTTATGTATATTTACGTATATAACATACGTAATATATTCACTTCTTATAAGTGTTTGAATATACCGGATGAGTCACCTAAAATGAAACACTATCTGACATTTAAAGAATTTAAAATTGAACAAATAAATTCGACTCTGAACAAATATTTACACTGCAATATTTTAATTAAAGTTTCTCCTGAAGGTAATGATTTTTCGGTACAAATGGTTTAGTTATACTTTTTTATAGAGAATGATGAGCTCAATCGATTAGTGTATTAAAAAAATATACGACTTCACTTAAGAAAAACACGCACTTTACTTTCAAATGCCTTTTATGCATCCACATTAAAAAATGATAATTAATTTATATCAATGCCCTCTCAAAGCCATTCAACTTTTGTCTGAAACATTTTTTGAATATAATTAATCGTTTGAAAAATATTTCAGCCTTTAGTATTAAGTGATTCACTCGGTGATTTTCGTAAGCAACTATATTTTTCCAAAATGTGGTAAAATAATCCGAAAAAATCATCAAAAATTATATCGTATAAAATTATGAAAAGAGTGAATTTGTGTCATTGTTGAAGAAACTATCATTTTCATTTAGATATTTCATTTAATTATCGAAAACGGTGTGCAAATTTTTTACGAAGAAAGATCAATATCTCTTTCTACTGTATTTATAGACTAACTTTTTAACGTCAGTATTGAATCAATATCAAATTTCCATGGAAAATACGTACCGCTGGTTTGACAGAGCTAATTATAAGAAAAGTAAATTTTTGAAGAAGTGGATCTAAAATAGGAAATTTGAAATAAAAAGTTATCAAAGTTAAATTTACCAAAAGCCTAAAAAGTTTAATACTATACAAGGAGCATATAATAAATTAAGATCTGTCTTTAAACATATATTTTTGAATATATTCATTCGGTATGTTATCCACCAATCCCTAATTGATAAATCAACTATTTTATTATTGATTGTAAAACAATCTTTCAACTCAAAGAGTTAATTACTAAGCTGTTTAATAATAAAAAAATTTGTTTCTTATAATTTAGCTACTGTAAAGTTAGTATTAGAAAGTATTGGAAAGTATTGATCCATAAATTGCTATAACATAATTGCTCACATTATGTATCTTACTATTAAAAAAAGAGAAACTCAAAAATTTTCATCTTTTTCCTAGTTTTTCTAGTTTACATTTACCTTTCTTGTTTGTATAAGTCTGAGATAGTTTTTTTCATTCAAACATCGTACAATTATTGTTTTTTTTTTTTTTTTTTTTGTTATTTTGGGCAATTTTAGGTAATGTTCGTGTTATTGAAACGAAATTAAAATCATTTATCTTCATTTCCAATAAAAAAAAACATCGACAGTGCAATTGACCGCGGTCTCACTCATTAGGGGTGAGACCGATCTTGAAAAATAACAAAATATGTAGTGTAGTGAATGAGAAAAAAGTATAATGAATGAGAGAATTAATTAGTATGTCTTCCTTTTCCAGTTCTCTGCAAATATTTCTGTTCCGGCCATTTTCTACAATTCTAATTGTTAGAATTATTTTGTGCGAAAGACGTTAGGCCTCTTGTCCACATAAAAGAATTTATTAAAATATGTTTGAGTAGGCGCCATCTCGCTCATGCTGGCAACGTCTCAACGTCTACTATGCTCTATCGCAGTTGTGATACGCTCATTTATTATTTTATTCCTCGGCCGACCCTGTTATGTTTAATGCCCTCTAGAAACGATTGGTATCGATGTTTAATAATTTCACTTTTCATGTTTTCTCTCACGTAATCAAACGGTTCGCGCTTCAAGGTGATTGGCCAGCACATTCGTATAAAGCAGACCCGCCAGCGCGACATTAAATACAATAATAGCACGAATCAGATCAATAAATGCGATTTTTAATACGAGAAATGATTGGTACGATGTATCGATCAGTACGACTACCAAATATGATTCAATTACAAGTATAAGTGTACCGATCCGTGTGACAAAAATCAACCAATTGCAAATTAAACAGCCCATTCATCACAATTTTCAATTTTCTATCGAATCGTTTCGTTTCGTTTCTATTTTATCTATAATTTACCCACTTACCTACGGGATGGCCATCCGCTTCAAAATTCAAGCGTTTCGAATCCATACTGTTTCGTCCATCGAGTCAAAATAATTTTCGTACTTGAAGCATCTCTCATAAATGGCTATAGCTTGCACATTACAAGGTTAATCTAGTTTCTTGTGATTTTGAAATGGTTCTCTGTATCTATCAAATAATTAGTACTCCATTTAGGCCTGCTATCACTTTTTCTCTTATAAATCGTAGGCATTCTACATTAATTTGTAGTAATAATGTCCTAATATTATCCTGTATGTTACAATAAAGTTGTAAGAAATAGTTCTATTATAATCTACAAGATAAACTACATGCTATTTAATTTTGTTCAAGTAGTCGAATCGGCCGCCTTTTATTTTCCCTATTATTTGTATATTGTAACAAAATGATTGAAAAAATGTCTCATCTCAGAATCCAAGGTGAGGTGATCTTTCGTCAAGTTCACCTACGTTTTAAATAAACAGCTCAGTGATAAAGTATAAAACCCTCAATGGTTATAAATTTACCAAATTTCATTAAAAATTTATCACACTTTCAAAGCACTTCTAAGTTACTCTGTAAACACACGAATAGCTCATACTATTTGCAAACTCCATTTTAAGCATCGTAAAGATTATGCATACCCGGTTCTTGTTTTAAGCAGGCGTCGCGTGTTTGATAATGTCTGTGTAAATCAAACATAATCGTCTTATATATAAGAAATAAAAGAAAAAAAAAAAGAGAGAAAACTGGAAGACACAACGATAGTTTCGAGAGAAACGATAATTTCAAACGTGTACGTGTACACAATAATCTATCCTTGTCGTTTTATTTTTCAAGGTATATAATAATCTTAACGAAAGTACCTGTTATATAAAAACAGAGAACGATAGTCAACTATAAATTTTTGTAAACAGATTTATAACAAACAAGAGCAATTGCAGTGATGTTGATAACAATCGCACCTGTTCAATTCTCGTGCCAGTTGAAACACATTATGCACAGTCTACAGTATAGATTATTAAATTAGACTATTAAATTTTATATTTTGCCGGATAAAAACCATGAAAAACATTCATCCCAAAAATTAATACTGAATATTCTAAAATTACCTGACCGAACTTGAATCCATCGCGATTATCTGTGTCCTAACAAAATTAGTTGAGAATGTTAACCTTTGGAAGATCGGTGAAGTCACTAGGCCTTAAGTAAGCATGCTATTACAATAATAATCATTTAAAGTATAAAGTTAAATAAATAAGAGCAGACTATATCTCTCTGCATATGATAAAATTTCATAATGTTTTAGATATTTGAGTGTTTCTACTTAAGCCGGGTACATTGCATTTTATTTGTTTAGGCTAGTAAAACTGCTATATGTAATGTATATTGTGAGAAACGTGGAGTCTAAAGTTTCAACAAAGGTAACCGCTGTTTTCAAAAATGTAGTTTCAAATATATTCCTTATATATTTAAATTATTTAATATAATGTATTCTTTAAAGGTCGTTAGGTTCTAATTCAACGTGTATATTGAATACACAACATTATTAGAAGTAGTTTGTGTTCAAATAGTTAAAAAATATTCAAAATGTTATTATCATTTCAGATCATCAATTAATCATACAAGTCTTGTGGATAATATATATCATATTATATATATAATAGAAATATTTTGAAGAAGGAAACTACCATTTTATGAAAAATTGTTGATCCTCTATAAATTAAGAATCCTTTTGTAATAATACATTTACCAACATGACTCAATCGTATTTAATTTACAAACTCCTCTTGACACTTAAACACAGCTATTTCAATTTAGTACTGTTGTCAGTTGTGATACAGATTTTAAAAACGGTAGAAAGTCGAAAGGACAATCAAGAATTAAAAATTAAAAATTGTCAAACGAAATTGCTTCAACATTGCAAAAATATTTGAAAATATTATGTCAATAGAAACAGTTTTGCGATAATTAACGTTACTACTTTAAAAAAAGAAAATACAATTTTCTACAACACTGATAAATAGAATCTGACATTCCATTTTTTGATTTTCTAAATTTCATTTTCATTCAACATTTCATTTAACGTATTGTTGGTCGCGTATGTTGTTGCAAAAACTATTTCCACAAAATGGAACTTTCAATAATTTATTTCTATAAAATCCAAATGTTAACAGCACCAAAGTGCTAACAAATAGTACAGAGATAACTTTCGCAGTGTTATATTGTGTAACAATTGCCTTTCGTAGAGACAGTTTCACAATAGTTTATAGAAACTATTAAATATCCCTCGATTAAGAGAATTTTATCGATCAACTGAACCTCGACCGTTAATTAAATCACGAAGTAAAACGAAAACGTTTGAATTGCAGCCCATTCTTCGAAAGGATATTTGCGGAGCACCCCTGCAAACATCCGGTGATTGTGCTAAAGGACTACCCCGGCCACGAAATAGCGGCGCTGATCGACTTTATGTACCGTGGCGAGGTGAGAGTCGGTCGCGAGGAACTTCCAGGACTGATGAGAGCCGCGGAAAGTCTGCAAGTGCGTGGCTTAACCTCATCGGAACCGAGGCCAACGTCACCGCCGGAAACACCGACCGCTGATCTTCTCTTAGGCGAGCCGTCGACACCCGAAGGCGCCAGGCAAGAAACTCCGGAGGAGGATGACAACGCGTCGGAAAGCACGGCGACGCCGTCCACGCGAGAACCATCGCTGGCAACGACGCCCATTGTTTTTCACCCAGCGAGGGACCACCGTGACAGGTTACCGCATATGAGCCTTGGATTGCGCGAGTTGCGCGAGTTGCGCGAGATTTGCGGATCGCCTCTTCTACCTCGGCGAAAACAGGCACGCCCTCGAAGGAGATCCGGTGAGTTGGTGCCGCAAGATCTTAGCCGGCCTCATCCACCGCTGAGCCTTAGCCCGCTGGCCGGTGGTTTGAACCTGATCAGTAGCCTACAGCCGCAACAGCAACAACAGCATCACCAACAGCTGTCCACATCGAGGTCGCAGAACCAACAACAACAGCAAGAAGATATGGCGGAGAACCTTTCGATGAAAAGAACGTTGTCGCCGAACGGAGCCGATCAACACAACGTAAAAGCGGAGAGCAGTGAAGCGGCGAGTAGTCCAAGGGGATCACCGTTAACCGGCACGAGTCTGCTCCACCCGGACGGTTCCCTTCAAGATATTCCCTCAGCTGCGGCAGCAGCGGCGGCGGCAGCCGCAGTAGGTTTGCCGACCATGTCGGGTTTATCACTAACGCCGCCGCATCATCACAGCGAGTACCTGACGAGCCTGGGCCAATTAGCGGCCCAGTGGTTACCGAATCATCCACAGAGCCAACTGCCACATTCATCATCTCAGAGTCATCATCCGCAGGATGGCAGTCCGCACAGATCTAATAGAATACATTCGTATCAACGGCCGGAGCAACAACAGCAACAACAACAACAACAGCAGCAACAAGAATCTCCGCTGACAGTACGGCGAAGTTCCGTTACGGCCATGTTCCCGTTGGATGGTGTCGCATCGTTAGGTGGTGGACTGTTTCCTCACGCAGGTGCTCTCGAGAGGGGATCCCTTTTAGCGGATCTTCACGATAATTTTAAACCGGAAACGCTGCACGGGCTTTTCGGCGCGGCTGGTCTGAGCGGTCATCTCTCGCCGAAAAAGCCAAAGAGACACAGAGGCGACAGTGACCCACCGCGCAGATGGGCCGAGAATAGTCGGGTGCCTATAGGAAGGCCGAAGGGTCAGCACAGCGCACCCAGAGGTGGACCTCCTAGGTCTTGGACGAACGCGGAACTGACCGAGGCGCTGCAACACGTTTGGAACAAGAAAATGACCACGTCGCAAGCGAGCAGGATCTTCGGTATACCGTACAACAGCCTATTGATGTACGTGCGAGGGAAATACGGGAAAAGTTTGAAACTCGAGCAATTGAGAAGGGACTGCACGGGCTCGACGACGGGCGAAGTAGTAATGAATTCGTTGAACAACAACGTTAAGGCCGTCCAGCCGCCGACGCAAATGAGCCTTCCACTCGCCGGTCTACCACCGCATCCGGGCGAAGACGGTGGATTTCCTCATCATTCGTCGTTGCTCGGCGGTAATCTACCACAGGGTTTCTTTCCTGACTTTTCAGCTGCGTTCCCAGTGCCGGTTAGTATGGTGCATTTACTTCCACCGAGCGAACAAAAGGCTTTCGAACCCCCGGCGAATCCCGGCAGCAGCAGCGGCAACAGCGGCGGCGGCGGCGGCGGCGGCGGCGGCGGTGGCGGCGGTGGCGGTGGCGGTGCTAGTAGCAGCGCCGGTGATCTCTCCATCGCACGGAGCAGTCGATCGCCGTCACCAATCGATCATCATCATCATCATCATCATCCTCACGAGTCGCTGCAACCGCCACAGTCGGCGCCCGCGCTACTACAGCAAAGCGGTTCGGATTAGAAGAGAATGTTTTACGCGTGACATCAGACAGCGCGGTCACACACCGATCATTGTCATCGTTGAAGGACCACGGACGCGTAGATGTCCGATCTAAAGCAGCCATCCCTTTGAACGATTTCTCGACAACACACGCACACGTGACACGTCAATACTTACATATAAACGAACAGAAGAACACGCCGCGTGCCACCGATTTCCCCCCGCGAAAGGTTGTTCTATTCTCACAAGACTGACTATCGCCACACCATTTACCAGTTTGTTCCCGGGGTTGAGCTCGACGGACATTCCACCCTGCCCACGGTTCACGCTTATAACCAATCGCTGTCACCGCTAACCCATTCTTCCTCTTTTCTATATGTTTCCCCGCCGACCTCCCTTTGTCCGTCTTTCTCCGTCAGCAAAAAATATCGACGTCGCTTTCCTTTGTCCGTCAATCGCGAAACGCCAGACTCAGTCAAGCGTGCCGGCGAAATTCTCTCTCGCGAGAGTCGTCTTGTTCCCTCCTCGGCTTGTGTCTTCTTTCTTGATTAAATTAGTGACTTGTCCGGAGAGAAGAGACAGCTCGAGCGAAGAAGAGAGTCGTCGATGAGGTGTCTCTTCTGAGGACAACTCTTGGGGACAACTTGACCGAAAAGCAATCCACGCTCCGGCTAATAAACAAATCCAACAAGATGCTTCGACGCTTCGGAGACTTTCGCTGGCGGGCGAGACGCACAACTCTCTCGTATCATCACTATAAATAGTTCCTGCTACAAGAGCGATCATACCAAATAGTAACTGTAATACGGCTGAAGGAAATGCAATGGCTACCGTTGTGTGAAATAGTAAACAAAAAAAGAAAGAAATATTGAAAAATACTCGTATAATCCGCCGCTTTGAATCGCAGACTTCTCGCTGGGAAAGTGACGTGCGATAAGTGGGAGACGAACAGATAAAGAAAGGGAGAGAGAGAACGAGGAGAAAGAGAGAGAAAGAGAGAGATGGAGACGTGCTTTCTACTTCGAAAACATCCTCGTGGCCTGTGATGTACATGAGGTAAGGTTACAAGACTTATAAACAATAGTTTAATAACACAGATTGTTAAGATACCTGTTCTAACACGCGCTCGGAGGCAGCAGGCTGACGTGTTGAACGATCGTTACTCGTTTGACAATCATACGCAATAATCCGACACGTTGTTTTTTTTTTTTTTTTTTTTTTTTCATTTCTTCGTCATATTTTTTCAGTTTTTGGTTTCTCCTTCTTCTCGGTTTCTTTTTCCTTTTTTAATCTCGGAGTAGGTAGCAGCAGTTCAGGATCCCCGGAGCGGTAGGAGGAGGAATTCGTAAAAAGAGAGGAATGCAACGTCTGCTCGTACGTCATTCTGTCCGCGGCGCGGTGGCCAACAATGCTCCCTTCTCTTCCTCGCCGCGGCCTCGAAGAATTTCGCCGAGGCGCTCTTTTGATCCTGGCGCGCGCAAATTACGGGAATCCGGGGCCGGGGGGGAATTTTTAGAAATACCGATCCAAGCTCGATCGACGCCAATGGGGTGGAAAACGGTCGTGACTCTTCTTTCTTCTACTTTTATTCTCGAGTCTCTTGGTACGAGTCTCGTCGTTTCTATCTCTCGAGCTCGAGTTTCAAATCTCGATCTTCTTCGAATTGAACGCTACATTTTTTTTTTTTTTTTTTTTTTAATCGAAATCGAAGATTGACAAGTACGAACTGTCTAGTATGGCTACGCGATTGTAACAATTTAAAAACGTTGGAGAAGCGCGGGGTCAAAGTCTCGCGCCTGTCTAAGAAAATTAAAAAAAAAAAAGAAAAAGAATCGTAAAGCAAGGGGGTTAAATGTATACCGTTTGTTTCTCGATTCCCGGCAGCTTCGTCGAAACGCATCGCGTGCCCCGACGCGCGAGATACATAAGTGCACGTCGTGTAAGTGAAAGCGTAGTTCGATCCTGTAATTGGCGTGCTTTACCATCCCCCTCCATCGATGATTAGAAGCGGTGTAGTCGCGAATTCTTAGTATCCGTACGATGAGTATCTCCGACGCAGAAGTTGCGCAGATCGAACGCGCGAGAGCGTGCGTGCAACGCGGTGAAGAGAGAAAAGAAGCTCGGTGACGAGTGAAAAAAAAAAAAAAATAAAAGCTCGAGAGGAAGAGGAACAAGAGGGCGTAAAAAGAGAGAGAGAGAAAGAGAGAGAGGTGGTCTCGGGGCGCGAGATGTTCGGATAACGCATTAAACACCGTTTCTTCTGGAAAGCGATGCCGAACGGAACAAGAAGGGTAATACCCTTGCCCTGGTGGTATCGTTAGCACGGTGTAACGCAACGAGGAACGAGCGGTCGTTCACGTCGTCGGGTATCGTTGTTACACGTACACAAGCGAGGAGGAGAACGCGCCGCGTGTTGTGTGCGGCGGTGCTCGGTAAATGCACGGAGCAGCAGGGTGCGGATGGGAGATGCGTTCGTATGCGTGACGGTGTACACAAATACACACACACGCACACACACATACATACACATATACGTACGTTTGCGCGTATATTGTACATTATGTACGCGTGTGCGAGTACGAGTACACGTTTGTGTGTTGGTATGGTTGGCGGGGGTGAGGGACGGGGAGAGCCGGGGGCGGGAGGGAAAGGAATGAAGTTGGCCGACGGGCGAGAGAAGCCTAGGAGAAGCGAGAAACGGCGCGCAGGGGAAAGAAGGAGGAAGGGTGAATCATGGCGGGGTGCTCTCGAAAGGGTGGAGTGAGTGCGGGGTGTCTCTTTTGAGCCGCTGAACTTTGCCAAGTTCGAAACCGTCCGAGGCCGTGGCGACTCACCCTCTGACGTGCATTCGGCTTCCACCCTTCTTCTTCCTCCCCTTCTCTGTCTCTCTGTCTCTCCCTCTGTCTCGCTTTCTCTTGCAATTTGCGCCGCATCTCCCTCTCTCTCTCCCTCTCTCTCTCTATCTGCACGACGGTGTACGACTGTACTCGCGGCGTATACGTCTCCTCTTCTCTTTCTCCTGTTTTCTCTCCTCCGATCCCCGCGGTCTGTTTCTCTTGCCCGGCGACTGTCTCTGTTCCTCCTTCTCGCGCCACCCATCCACCCTCCCCCCTTCCGCCCCCGAAACCGCGCTTCGGCGTAGCCTCTCAGCCGTCGTGGTATTATGGAAATTTTGAACCAATTCGAAAATCAATAGTCCCTGCCAGGAAGCCTCGAGGCGGCCTACGTTGCAACTACCGCTCCTCTCTTCCCCAGAATGTATTCAGGACCGCGCCGCGTGTTTCAAGTTTTAAGGCGGGATTTCCTATTGGCAACCGTCTCCGATGCACGCGTCGGTGATTTTTCGACTTTCTGCGTTGCCTAACCTAACTTATTATGACTCTGATTGCAACTAAAAACGTCTTCAAACGTCTTCATCATTGGCTTGATGATAATTAATAAAGAAGATGTAACTTGATAGTAATGAAATATTACGAGTTCCATTTTACTAAAATCGCCACTTCACCACTTGTAATTAACAATGGAAATTGGAACTGCAAGTATAATGGACAGTATCATCTTTTAGCTGAGGGAATCCCCAAACGTTACGGATGACAAATTTAATCTAGCTTGATCTGATTGCAACGAAATGTTACAAGTTTTTGTTCCCCTATTTTTAAAATACTTTTGAACGTACAGCTTGATCTGACGATTAATACCAAAGAGTGATTGACAGTATTACCTGTCCGTGACAAAGATCTCATTCGTCGCACCAACACTCGTTAGATAAATAAAAGACGTGACTGCAAGCACGAGTTTTGTTCGAAATAGGGGTTGAACGAGCATTCGTACGTTTGTTCACCACAACACAAAATTGTATGTAAACTGTATGTAAATTCCACGTAACGTGAAATCTCACAATAATTCTAAATAGAAAATATTCTCTTTATCCTTCGTATCTTACGAACCTTCGCTCGTGTTTATCTCTCGCGTCGCTCCGACATTTTGGTACCACTGTGGTCAAAGCAACGCCTTCGCGCCTTTTTCGCGCGCTCGCTCGTCACTTTTTTTCCCTCTCGCGTATGTACAAAAAAAAAAAAAGAAAAAAGAAAAAAAATTGGAGGGAAGAAAAACTGCTATCTACTCCTGGAGAAGATGGTTGATTTCTCTCTCGGGCGAAAGAGCGAACGAGAGGGCAGAGAGACAGAGAGTCAAAATCTTGGCAACGTTGGAGGCTTTTTCATTTGATGCGCATCGGATTCCGGGACGCTTGGAATCGCTTCGGTTCCCATGAGTCTCCGCGGCAATCCGAGTAAAGGGATATAGAGAGAGGGAGAGAGGCGTCTACGCGGCCGCCTCTCTCCCTCTGGTGGGGAGAGCTTTTTTCGTTTTACAAACTGGTTCAATTTTTTCTCAAAAAGCGGGTGAACACCGCGGAAACCGGTTGTGTCTACGCCGACTCCGGGACCCGACTAGCCGAGGAGGTGGCGTCGGAGGGGAATGGTCTTCTCTTCTCAGCTCCAGGCTCGTGTAGACTCTGCTACGTAGCCCTGTTCAACGCGCGCGCGCGCGCTCGCGCAAGAGACCGAGATAGAGAGAGAGAGAGAGAGAGAGAGAGAGAGAATATCCTTCTTCTTAATTGAACCAACTGATCCCATTGTGTCTGTGCGAGCGCGGCACGCCAACCCTCCCCCTCCCGAAAATCCAATTCCCCGGCTCTTCTCGAAAACTTTCGCCCTAAAATGCCCGACGACGTCTGCGCCGGAAAACCAATAATTACTGAGATTTTTACCGACTTTCTTGATGAACTTTCCAGCTTCTCCTGCGAGCCGAACTTTCTTTTATTCCGACCGCCAGCGCTGCCATTTCGCAATTATTGCCTCGTCGTTGGAGATACGGTCGTCGCGATCCGCGAATTTCTTTTGTCCCGATCAATATAAAGGGACGTTTTCGACGTATTTTTTTTTTTTTTTTTTTTCGACATTGACCCTCTTCGCTTTCTCTGTAAGAGATTCAAGATGGATCTTTTCTTTTCTTTTCTTTTTTTTTTTTTTTTTACGAGCAACTTGAAAGTCAAAGTCGACAGTTACATCGTCGATTTGTAGATGATGTAATTGGTGTTTGGTTATCGAGAAACAGGATCGTTTGCCTCTAAAGGTTTATTTGTCACGAGAGGATGATGTCAGTGACAGTTTAGGAAACAGGATACGTAACTTTTTAATTCCTCGAGTTGACCAGCCAATGTAAATAGCTAATATTTTAACCCCCTTGCGCTGGCAACTGGTACGCGCGGACCATAACGAGTGACCGAACCGTACACAATCATTCGTCGCTTTCTTTCTCCTTTGAATTGAAGTCGTTGTGATATCACCGGATAGAAATTATTAAGAAGTAATAAACTTATCATTTCTTTTGCCCGAGTTACATTTAAATATACTTAAAACTGAGAAAATGTTGCATTCCAGCGCAAGAGGTTAAAATATTAAAATAGATAGATATTAAGGTATACGTAGATAATTTTCCAATATTCAGTGTAATTTCACCGTCATCCACGTGTGTTCTACGTTTCGAAAAATTGAGACAGCTTAGGAAGATCTATAAAACAAACCTTGGAATATCTTCGA